CCTGCCACGTTTGAAAGACTAATGGACCATGTGCTCAAAGGATTACACTGGAAGACTTGTTTGGTGTATCTGGACGACATCATCGTATTGGGAAAAAGCTTCGATGAACATCTGCGTAATTTGGAAGAAGTGTTCCAGAGAGTAGCTGGCGCTGGTCTTAAACTAAGTCCTAAGAAGTGCTCTTTATTCAAGAAGGAGGTGAATTACTTAGGTCATCAAGTAACCACGAAGGGCGCTTGTATCTGCCCGTTTCCTCTTGGCACGCCAGTCGTACATAGAAAATGCTAGATTTGATTTTTCTTGAAATAATCCTCAAAGATACGTGATGTAAAGGCGGAACCCCTATCCGTTATGATTCTTCTTGGGTTGCAAACGTAACTTCTTATTTCGTCCGTCTGTCGATTACCGCATCAGTACCTGTGTCTTGTGGGGTATAGTCAAACGAATTCCGCAAATGCGTCTACGACTATTTAGATGTAATTATACTGTTTCAGCGTCTTCGTGAGTGGACCAACATGATCTAAATGAAAGGTGGAGAGAGCATCTTCTTTGTCTATAGGGGACAAAAAAACCATCTTGTTCAGGGGTGTCCAGTAAACTAGTACCTATATTCAAAGGGCCGTACAAAGTTGCGGAAGTTCTAAAAAATTACTGGTATGCAGTAGATTTCGAGGGACTCCAACGTACACAAATGCAATATAAAGGCACCTGTAGGGGAATTCTCTATCGTATTATAACGACTTTCAGATCGTTAAAATTACTTAACGATAATTTGACCGATTTCGCTATTCTCTAAGAATAGAATAACGATTTTCGGTTCGCAAAGAATGCTCAGCGATAAATCTAACAGTTTTAGTATTCGGTGAACTGCTACTAGTCGACAAATCGCTTACTTAAGTGACGAATATTTTTAAGTTGTTGGTGATATCGACAAAATATTGTTATTTCATTTAAGAGAGTAAAACGTCGGCTGTGCTTTCCTTTATGGCAATAAGTATGTGTTGCCATACGACGTACAAATAAAAATACACTACTGTACAGGGTTGTATGTACACAATAATTTTTTAAAAACACATTTTTTTATACTTCATGAAAGGAATGACGTAAAATACTGTACAAGGCGAGGCTGGTGTTGGTCCAGCCCAAGGTTATAATAAAAAGCGCAGCCGAAGGCCACCAACTTACAAAGGAGTTTCGCTTAAATATACTGTGCAAGGCAAATCCAGTGTTAAAACTGTATTCTAGTTGTTTTATTATAGTATTTCGTTGTTATACGTGACAATACCAAAATTCAAAGTAATTGCTTTATGTACAAAATAATAGGGTTTTTGATTGCTAAATTTTGAAAACCATTAAAACTCATTTCTTAAAAATAATTGTTAAATAAAAGTAAAATTTTCAGGTGACACTGGATATCCATTAGAACCGTGGTTAATGACCTCTCTTCCAAACCAACCCCACGGAAGTCCTAAATTCCGCTACAATGACGCATTGTGTAAAGCACGAAACCCACTCCAGCGACTTTTTGGCGATCTCAAAGGAACTTGGCGATGTCTATCTCAACAAATAACTCTTTTGTATGATACTGGATTCACTGGTAGTTAAAGCGGGCTCAGTGTTACATAAAATCCGATTAGGTGACCAAATATTTGAGCTTGAGCAATAGTTCCTAGAAAGTAGAACAAATAACGTCAATGTCAACCATGAGGCAAGATCCTCAACAGCAAAACGCGTCCAAGATCGCCTGATCGTTAATTATTTTACGTAAATATCAATTTGATAAATAAAAACTCCGGAATATAATTTACACAATTTGTAATTTTATTACATTTTTTTATAAATTAAAAAAAGGCAAATTCTTCAGTCTTATTATTTTCATCATTTGTATATAAACGTAAGTTAAGATAACTCAGCAATATTTTACAACCTAATTTAAAAGCGTAATTCATTACAGAACGAAAAACATAATCACAGATAAGTCTTTTTATATAGATTTAAATACCTCATATCAACACATTCAATTTTCTTTAAGGAGAATCTGAAACTTCGATCCTATTGTGATTCATTCATTGAAATTGAATTGATTATTTGGGAAGATTTAAAATATCAACTAACGCTTTAATCAAAATCAATATCAACAATTTTTATATACGAGAAAAAGTAAAGCATTTAAAGGTTGGAAATCAACAAGTTACTTAATCCAAGGTCCTATAAATTTTACTTCAGACTTATGTTGATTCTTACCAATTCTATTTGAGTGAAATCAAT